GTATTATTTAAGGCTAGTAGTTTATAGAAATCTTTAAAAGAAAGTATTACTTCTATTTATATATACTACTATATTTATAGTAAAGTCTTTTTAAATAACTAATATAATTATAGTTTATTTTAATTTAAAAATAAAGTAATTTAATATTATAAATATATTTATTAATATAGAAAGAGATTTCAATAGATCTATAGTAATATATAAGTTACTAGATAGTTTTAAAGTACTAGGCTATATAGTAGAGGTAAATCGAGCTCTATATAGGCTATAAGACGTTTCTGCTTTATAATATAAGTATTAGACAAATACTTTTAAAAGAATTAAACTTTCGGGATTTAATAAAGAGCTCTATATTTATATAGATATAGATTATAAGATCTTTATTATTTTCTATATAAATGACTTTTAAGTACTTTATTATAAAGATAATAAAGTATATATTTAATTAATTATTATTTAGATTAAAATAGTTTATAAGCTTTATAATATATAAAATATAGAATAGTTTCTAGAAATTTATATAATTAGAAATTAGAAAGCTAAAAAGCTTTAGCTAGTTTATAATACCTATATTAAAAAGATTATTAAGAAGTTTAAGGTAATAAATAAGAAGTATTCTAGTATTTTATTATCTGAAATTAATTTTTAGAAATATAGTAATTAAGCTTATTTATATTAAATTAAAATATATTAGAAAAAGATTAGATTATTACTTTATACTATAATTATAATTAGAGCAGATATAGCTTTTACTATTTTAGTACTCTTTTAGTTCTTAATAAATTCTATTTTAGAGTATTTTATAATTATAGATTAGACTTTTAGATATTTATTTAGAATCTAGTTTTTAATAATTTAATATAATAGGGAATATAGAGAAATATAGCTATAAATTATATCTAATACTTTATATATAAATAATCTAGATATATAATAATTGAGCTATAAATATATAATTTCCTTATTTAGAGATTTAATATTATAGAAAGCCATTTAATAAAGCTCTATAACTATTTCTTTAACTGAATTAGAAATATATAGAATTACTTATATAATAAAAGAGATTATAGCTTTCTAGAGGCTATTTAGAAATCTATACTTAGATTTTAGAAAGCTCTGAATTATATTCTATAATAATAAGTAAACTATTTTACTAATTATTAAAGAGAATAAAAGAATTATTATAAAGCTCTATTATATTAATATTTAGAATATATAGCTATACTAAAAGTATAGTAAAAATATATTTCAAGTTATATATCTTTAAATAAATAGTATATTTATAAATAAACTTATAAAAAATTTATCTCGATTTAAATTCGAGAACTTTAGAGCTTTATTAAACCTTTAGAATATTAGAATAAAGATTAAAATAATTAAATAATATAAAAAGAAGCTTTTATTTATATCTTTTATTTATAAAATTTATTAAAATAATAGAGTTTAAGAACTAATAGTAAGAGATCTAAAAGCGCTTTACTATAATATTAATAAGTTTATATAAAAGGCCCTTTATCTAATTAAACTACTTTTTATTTCTATTAATAGCCTTTTAAACCTTAGTAGAAAAGCTCTTATTACTATTCTCTTTATTAGATTCGGTAATTTCAAGTATAATATAAATAGAGTACTTAAAAGCAGATAAATGCTTTAAAATAGTCAAAATCTATAAAAGAAAATTAAGAAAAGAGAGCTTATAGTATTTTTAGTAATTAGAAGTTCTATAAGAAAAAGCTATATAATAGAGATATAAGAGATCGGAATAGCTAAATAAGAATAACTAGAAGTATACTTCTAGTAATAAGAACCTTTATTAAATAATATTATAGTAAGAACTATTACTCTTATCTTTTAGAGCGAATAAGACTATATTAAATCAAAACAAGCTTTGGAATAGTATAGAGAATTTATAGTAACCTATATAAAGGATCTCTCTGAGATTAGTATAAGTAGAATAAAGAGTACAAGGCTTTAGTATAGACTTCTTTACCTTTAATAGAAGGGTACTAGAAGTATTAGAAGATATTATAGGGATTTAAACCTCGATATTCTATTAAAAGTGAGCTTTATATTAATAGTTAAGAGCTATACTTATAGCAGACTTGCAAGCTATTTAATACTATTCAAAGTTAGTAAAAAATAAAGCAAGAACGTATTTTGGGTTAAAAATACCTTGGATTTACAAGCCGGAATCGACTTAATAGTAGTACGAGAAGAGGTAGAAGCTATATTTGTAATAATCGGAAGCTTGGGAAGGGATCTCTGGAAGAGTATTAAAGAAGAGCGTTTAATTAGAGGCTCTGGAGTTAGTAAAAAGAGGGGGTTTATATAGGGCTTCTCTGGAATTCAGTAATCCGAGGAAACGATATACGCTAAGCCTATTCGGATCGGAATATCGATACGGCTCTGCAAATCCTATATATCGGACGAATTTCGCCATTTCAAAGCTCTCTGATTGGGTAGAATAGGTAGAATACGGTATCGTGCCTTCCTGGGGGGTGTATTGCAGTGAGAATCACTGAATTGGGGCTAGTGCGATCGCTCCGCTGAGTCAGGATCTGTGCACTCACTTCCTGAAGCTTCACACTTCACTCAAGCTCTTTTCTAGCTAGTTCAATTAACTCTTTTACCACCCAATGCAACTCCCTACTCTGCGATCTTTACGTGCATTAATTACTTTACTAACTTATATACTAAGCATTTTATATATATTACTAATAAACTAATATTAATTAATTAATACTTATGAATTAGAAAGAATTAAGCTATACTTGCTTAAAATTTGGTTTCTTGGGGGCAAAGCTATTATTTAAGTCAAAGAGGAAATAACTATTAATTCTTTACTTAAAGGAAATAAGAGACTTTGGATTTGACTTATATACTTCAAAAATGGAATGCACTTGCGAGTCATCCCTAAACCCAGTCACCGAGGTCGTCAGCCAGCTGCGAATATGGCCACCTACCCTTGTAAAAACAATCTATATGACTTTTGACTTATGTGACTTTCTGCAGCAAGGAATAATAGTGGATATTTGGTGTTCATCTCAAGAGGCGTTATTGGAGCATGACGTTGGTTGAATGGTCAATGGCGCGCAGTTATGAGGGGCATTGAGGGAACGTGGTCATGGCTTGACTCGATCGAGGCTTGTGCTGTGGGGCCGATGCGGAGACTGGCGAGCTTTTGGAGGTTCGTAGGATCGTGGGTCCATGCTTGTAGGGCTAGAAGCTCAAATGAGGCTTGAATTGAAGGTGGCCGAGAAGGATGACGCGGTCACCGAGTCCTGTACAATTCTCTGCTAGAAAGTGTCAAAAATAGATTGTACAGATTGAAAAAGTTTCAGAGCAGAGATTTCACTGTGATCAGGATTCCAGACTTCTGGCCAAATAACAACTAAAATGGTTTTGAGGTTATCATCGATCAAGATTAAGGGGCGTACAGATGTGGGGTCGCTGGGTCCAAGCCGTTGCCATATCCGCGAGTCGAGCTTTTCAGCCACTTTCGAGAGCGCCGCGTCACTGGAATCTGGGAATAGTCCGTTCGGTGACTCGGTCCCGAAGTCGTTGACTGCGAGCTGGTGGATGGTGACGCGTTTGCAGGGAAATGGAGAGGAAAAGCTAAAAAAATTTTATAAAAAAAAGAAAGATCAGGGTCAGGGCGTAGTCGTCAGTCTTGTGGGGAGCTAAAGCCTACAGTAGTCCACGGTTGTCCAAGTGCTCTACCTCTTGAAACATGAAGCCCCGTGTCTATTTCCCCCCAAGGAAGTGGACAGCTGATCACTCTTTATAAATGAGAAAAAGAGAGCGATGCAGATATAATTAATGAACTATTTTTGGCATGGCTGGAGGTAGGGATGAAAGGTAGGGAAGAACTTTCATTTTCTGGGTTGAGCACAATTTAAGCGAGAGCAGCCCCTGAATACTGTCAGTGTGAGAAATGAATAGATTAGATTAGATTAATGGCTATTAATCTAATCTATTCATGAAATTTTCTCGTTAATCATATTTTATTCACGAATTAATTAAGCTAATCATGAATATTCATGAATAACTTGATTAATGTACACGTGACCGTAGCACGTGACAGGCTAGCCATATTAGGTAAGGATCAGGCTCTAGTGCTACCTGCTTCTAGAGAGAAAAGCTCGCTAAGGCAGTGCTAGAGCAAGAACCTTACTTAATTAGGCTAGACTATCACGTGGTGTAGTCACGTGTATATCAATTAATGTATTCATGAATAATCATGATTAATTATTCTAATCTAATCAAATTACATAAGTATCACGTTAATCAAATTCTATTCATGCTATTCATGAATATTCATGAATTAATCAATTAATCTGATTAATTTTTTCGCACACTGAATACTGGACTGTATTGTGTGAGGTATGTATTTACACGACCCGATCTGTCTAAACTGCTGTCTTAAACGACCGCCAGGACTTCGGTGCCTATAATAGGAAGCACGGCTGCGGCACCGGACAGCTTTTCCTCCAAGAAGAAGGCGTTCATATTGTCCTTGATTCGCTCCACCGTGCTTCTTTCCACAAATTTCGCCATATCATCATCGTCCAGATCCCAAACTTGATGGACTCGAGAGAAATGTACACCGTATTCGTCCAAACCATTTCGGCCGAAGCCATTGGTATCGAAACCCCCGCCGCCAAATATCTGCATCACATCTTCGATGTCTGCCGGCCCCTCAGCCGTCTCATAGTCATACAGGCTCCACTCCTAGCGAGAGAAGCCCTTGGTTTCGACGAGATCGTCCCAAGCCTTGTTGATAGAATCAAGGTCCCCGCCATTGCAATCGGCAATATCACACTTCAAAGCTGTATCATCTTCCACTCCCAATGTTACGTCCGAATAATCCAGGGGCCATTCCCTGCCACGCAGGACGCTCACCTCAACTTTTCTCTGGGCAAAGTTGTTCTGAAGTTTTGGTTGGAATCACAATTTGACTCTCAATAGCTCACAAAGCAACAAGAACAATGGAATGAAGTCTTTATTCATCGGAATAACCTAGGGGTTTATTAATCATTATGTCATATTGAAGAATTAGAATAGGGTATGGACTTCTAGGAAGCCAAATCAATCTGCATTATCCTCCTCTCCTCCATTCCCCTTCTTTAAAAACCATCGATAATTCTGGTGCCCTCAGCAACAGCACCCTTCAAGGCCTTGGGGTCCAAGCCAAGTGCTTGCAAGATGGTAGGAGCAAACTGGTTAGTATGAACCTGGTGATCGAAGACAGTCTTCTTTAGGTTCGTGGCGCTTGCGATGCAAGCGACCTTGCGGTCATCATCTGACAGGCCTCCGTGCTCAGCGATCTTGCTAGTGCTGGTGGTATAGATGATGCCTTTCTCGGGAGCGACAATGATGTCAGGAACAGCGGGGTCTTTCGTGGGGTCACCGTACCCTTCGTAGATGAGACGCTCGCCAGAGATGATATCCTCGATCTTCAAAGTTTGGCGGAGGCCGTTCAAGATGTCAACAGCTTTGTCCGTGTCGCGTTGGTCGGTGAGGTAGATGAGGGCCACATCATCAGTGGTGATGAAGTCGACGGGAACACCAACGTCAGTCTGGAAGATGTGCTGGCTAATCTTTCCGTACAATGTGGGGTCAATTGGTGCCTGGCCATGTTTGGAAGCGATCACGATCAGGGTTTCATCAAAGACTCCCTTGGCTTTCAGAGCTGCGACAACCTGGCCGATGGAATCATCCACGAAAGTGAAGGCCCTGACGAGCTCGGGTGTGAAGTCAAGGCTGCCAGCAACATAGCCATAGGACTTCTGTGCAACGGAGACAGCCTGGAAGTTGCCACCGAACAGTGTGGGAATACCAGTCAATTTCTCTTGGACCTCGGAGTTGACAAGTTCAGTAGCATCTACCCAGGCAAGCCAACTGTCGACGTGCAATTGATCATACCCGATAATTTGGGTGACGTTTGTGGTATCAAACGATTGGATCTCCGGGAAGTACCCAACGCTGAGACCCTTTCCAGATGGCCCTCTGACCAGGTCATAAGCAGGATGCTTATCAGTGTAAGCAGTCTGCTTTCCTGACTCGTGAACCACTTCGTAGATGGTGTTCACGCGGATACGTTGGTGAGGATATGTCCACGTGCACACTCCTTCAATCTTGGACTGAGGAAGGTTGGCTGGATCGATGCCGCCGGACCACAATTTTGTCCAGTCGTAGTCTTTGGTTTCGTCATAGGTGACTGTCTTGTGTCAGTCAGGGATTCAGATACTCGCGTCAAAACATCATACCTTCAGCGCCTGGCGGGCCTGAGCAGTTTTTGCCACTCGTGGAGTAAGGAGGCCAGAATGATCGATCGTAAACATCATCGTACCAGATACCTAAATTTGTCAGCTTGTGAAACCAATCGAGGAACGGAGGCTCATGTACCAGTGGTTCTTGGGCTGCCGCCTGTCACGAAATTTGCGACACCAGGATAGGAATCCGAGGGTGCACTGGTGTAGCAATCGGTGTACTCGTAGCCGGTCTTGAGCAAGGAAGCGATTGTCGACTTAGGGCTCAGGGAAACCCACTTCTCGACATCGCTACCGTGCATACCATCAATGCTGAAGGTTACAACGTACTTGTAGACCTTGTCATTGTCAGTGTTGGCGACAGCACAGCCAGCCAAGGCTGCAACGAGAGCGAGAGTCTTGGTGTACATGATTGTGTGAGGTGGATCAGTTGCCTTGTTCTTGCATGAATAGCTTGCGGAACTCGAGAAGCTCTTATATCATATCATTCTAGCTTCCATCTCGTACGGTTCCCGTCCATGGTCCAACGTTCCCACAACAGCTATGACTGCAGCAAGCCATCAGGCCCTACATGTCGCCATTTAGGACGAAGAATCTCAGCTGGTACCCGTGAGGAGATTCCGAGGAGGAGCAATGACGGTCCGGACCCTTGGAGGGAGCTTCCAAAATGAAGTCATCGCCAATTGATATGCCCGAGCATGTCATTCGTGCAGTGTGCCTTAAAGTTGCAGGGAAATCAAGCTTCTTCGGACGAGGAGCATGCTTTAGTGGGGTGAGATTTGGGGATGAGCTGTGGGCGGAAAAGCTGGAGATGGACAGGGACAGGAACAGCACGTGGAATAATTGAGGGGATGATTGGCATGGAGGGGTCAATTGCTTTTGCACTCCCTCGGGAACTTGGCTGAGAAAAGGATAGCGCTGATCCCCCACCGTCCACAATCCCGCATGGTGGCGTTTGTGGTCATCGAGGCTCTGCAAGTTCGAGCATGCATAGCAAATCATCGCTGCCACCCCCAGCCCTGTAGGGGTCCAGACTTTTTGCATTGAACGTTTCTCTCAACCGGAGTCCGCGAAGATGGACAGCGGCGCCTGTGAGGCTTTAAAGCCAATTGATGCACGCAATGCTTTCACAGGTCACCAGTGACAATATTCTCTACTTTGGGAAGTTGTATACCATCGTGGCGTCTCATGGCTTCGAAATCGAGCCCTGTAGAAGCTTGAACGCAGGCCCGTGCGAGACTTCCCCAACCACCCTTTCGAAACACGTGTCGATGATTCTGGCATATCCCGTCTCCTCCACTGTCTCTCTCATCGAATTTGCCCTTTTTGACAAATTACTGCGCTTTCTTTTGCTCAAGCCAGAGTACGGGGCCTTACCTTTGGAGGCTTGAGGAAAGCTTCTCTTGGAGCCAAGCAAACCTTGGCATGCTGACAATGTCGCAGTGTGCTGTACCCCGCTACCCCGCCGTCCCACCACCGTTTCTCCCCTGACGAAATCTAAACATCTATAACGAATTATTTATTCCTTAAAGCCTTTCAATAGACAATGCTTTCGAAATTGGTTTTGTCTGCTTATCGATACATATATCGCATGGTTGAAATTGCATGCCCGTCTCTTCGTGCCGCTCCCGCATATTGGAACTCCCTCACTGGGACGGGACCAGGGAGAAATGTTCTCGATTTGAGCTCCAAATCTTTCTTCTGCCATTATTTAATTGCTTTCCTCAACGCCAATGGCATCAATTCTTCTTCTTCACAGCTTCACTCGCTGCCTACCAAAGCAGTGTCCACCCTCAACGCTCCATTCCCATACGCGGCACAAGATCCTGAACCCCCAGTCAGTTTTCTTCTCTCTCGACTCTACTTCGGTTCAACTCACCAGTTGCTACAAGTGCGCTGTTCTGAAATGGAACAGCCTTTAAACAATTAATGTAGGGCCAACGAACAGCAAACGCGACATAGTCACTGCACAATTTCGATGTTGTCAGCTCTTTCTCAACCTTTGTGCTGTGGTATATAATGGAAAAAATGATTTCGCACCATCTGGAACTCGTCCCTCCAAATACGGAACCAATGTTCATGCCGACAACCATGGCGTTACCCGCGGTGCAAAACACCTGCTCCATATTATTGCCGCCTGTTACGGCACAATTTTTGTTCACGTTGTTCAGGTAGTTGTAGCAGCTCATGATATCACCTTGTGGAGCGCCTTTGCTGGCCTGGTCCGTGCATACCGAGTTGAACTCTGCCGTGCGCTTGTGTAATTCGAACATTCCCGGATCTGTCGGGAGCAAGTTTGTTAGTTTTCGTGGTTAATAATATATGTGGGGCGCTGCTGTACCAATGGGCTTGAAGGGCATGTTGTACAGCTGCTCGGAAGTGAGGTTGAAGGACTTGAGTGATGGCATGCCGGGTCCCGGAATAACTTCAGGGTATGCTGCCACCAGGGGAAGCACACCGAGGAACAATGAGAAGAGGAGGCACAAGGGGACTCATGTTGCTATCAAGCCGATCCTCTCAAGTGAGATTTTTGGCCAGCCAGAGGAGACGTCGACTTTCTGAAACTGACGCCGTTGATCGTTTTATCATCGCAATCTCCACAGCTTCCATAGACGTCTTCTAATATTTATACTTCTGTCATTCGTATAGATCATTTGGAAAATAATCTAAAATTGTTAAACCTTATTCTTCGTGCAAGACCCATCGTTGTGGCTGGAACGTCAGTGCTCATTGCGGACCGAATCATCGAGCTGGCGACCTGAGCTGGGAGCCGGCATTGATCTTGGGAGCGAACACGCCCAATCACAACCTCATCCATATTTAAGCAGTTTACTTTCGGGGCCTTGCTGCGCCTTTTTGATGCGGCATTGCGGAAGTAAGATGTGGGGTGAGATACAAGGTTGACACGATCGTTCGCCAGCTTGAAGTTCAGATGAGGGGGGTGCAGATGCAGCTAAACCCACCCGAACGCTCAAAGGGGAAGTGGCAGGGGCGTAATATTTTCCCGGGATATTATCCAGAACTTCTAGAGCTCAACAGTGTTAAGCTTAACCCAAAGTGGGGACAAGACGCCGCATTGGTAGGACTTGCATGGTGGAGAGCCTGGGGGAGTTCTAATCACTCGAAAAATTCTATCCAAGCTGTTCACCCAAAGTAGTTGAGCACCTTAAAGTCCGAGAGCGTCGCGGTGTTACAACCATCTCGAATCTAAAGTGATCCTCGCTAACCCAAGCCCGAGGATACTTCAGTGGCAGCCATCAAGCGCTCATGAACCGTTTTACGTCAAAACATGGCAACCTTAATTTACAAAGGGGAGATAAGGACGAGTTTTGACGCTAATATATCTCGATTTCAATTACAGGATAAACAAATCATAACGCAGGGCAATATAAACAAACCAGGCGCGAAAGCCTAGCCGAATGTGAAGCCTTTGCAAAGTCGGAAGAGCAGGTACGGAGCCAAGTCCATGCACTCCTCTTTCAGTCTTGTCTGCAATCAGATAAGAATAGAAATACGATCTAGATCTAGCTCTCATCGTCCAAGGGTACCTAGATTTGTCCGAGGGCAAGGTTAAGCGAATAGGGGCTCTGTTCACGCCCGTTCGTCAATGCGAGCGGTTTGGGAATCGGGGCTAAGCGAGGGGCCCGATTGCTTAGTCGCCTACTTAAGCGAACTCCGGTTCATAAATCCGAGGTCGGATACGAGCGAATTTTGAAAATATTATAATATTTTCAAATTAATAAATTAATAATTCTATTAGTAGGATCTATTAAAAGTTATTTAGTTAGTAATATTATTTAAGTAATTTTAACTAAAGCCTTTTATTAGAACTATATATAATTTTCATTATAAAATAGTTTTTTAAAATATATAATTATATAAATCTTTTTATCTTTAATAGAATTTAATCTAAGTAATATTCATCTAAGTTTCTTATAAGTATTAATGTCTTTTATTTAATTAAAATTTGGCTTTTGCCTTTTATTAGAAAGTTATATATTGTTTTAAAATTAGGCCTTTTTATTAGCGAATCGGGCCCCTCGCTTAGCCCCGATTCCCAAACCGCTCGCATTGACGAACGGGCGTGAACAGCTCGAGGCGAGATGGCCGCTGATTAGCCACCTGGAAAAGCAACCGCCCATTGCACAAGACTGAGAATTAAAGGATTATATCCTTCTAGAATTGCAATATTTCATTTCCTAAATTTCTCGTTATTAACGAAATTTTTATCTTAAATATAATATTTTTTATAAATTACTTATTTTATAAATTATTTTCCTTTTTATAAATTTACTTTTTTTTATAAATTATTATATTTTAAACTAGATATAAGTTTATAAAACTTATTATAATAAATAACTTCTTTATTGAATTTATTTATTTTAATTATTTTATATAAAATAATAATTTTAAGGAAATAATAAAGAAATAAAAATAAAATATTATTAGCTTAAAGAAAATAACTAAATTCTTAAATATTAAGTTATTTTAATATATCTTTTATAAAATAATTAATAATAACTTTTAAGAATTATTTAAATATAATTTTAAGAACTTTATTTCTTAAGAGGACTTTAATAAACTTGAATTTCTGAAAATATTATATTTTTATAAAACTTTTTAATATAATAATATATATAATAAAATAATAATACTAATATTATTATAAATACTTTATTTATTATTATTATTAAAGAAAAAGTAATATATATATATATATAAACGAAAATATATTAAAGGCTAAATTAGATTTTTAAAAGAAATTAATCTTATTAGCTTAGATAATTCTTATAAAAAATAAGTATATAAAATTATTTATTTTTTCTTTTATTATTATTATATCTTATATTTTATTGAATTTAGATATTAAAATAAAAGCTTTAAAAGCAAGAAATATAAGAAATAATATATCTTTATTAGTTTTATTACTAGTTTTATTATTATTATTATAATTATATTTAAATGTTTTCTAATTATTATTTTTATTTTCTTTATTTTTAATTATTAGATTTATTAAAAAAAATAGCTAAGATTTATATTAAAGAATAAAAGTAAATTAAATTTAATATTAGTTTTAATTATAAACTTATTATTTTCTTTAATATTTACTAATATATAAAGCTTTTTTTATTATATTAAAGAAATTAGCTTAATATTATATTTATAATAATTAGCTCTTTTAATATATATATAAAGAAACTTATATAAATAGTTATAGCTTTTTTAAAAGCCTTAGTTTCTAATATTAAAATTTAGATAAATAAAATACTATTATTTTAAGAATTATAATAACTAAATATTTAAAAAAAAAATATATAAAACTATTTAATAATTAATTAATATCTTATATTTATATTATATTTCTTTCTTTTCTATAATTAATATTATATTATATATATTTATATTTATTATAATAATTTGCTTTCTAAAATATTAAATTCTTATATAATAAAATAATTATTTCTTATTAAGGCTTTTTAATATATTAATATATAATTTTGAATTTTTTTAATAATTTTAATAATTTTATTAGTAAGCTTTAATTATTTATTATTACTTATAAGAAAAAGTAAAAAATTAATATTAAAGCTATTATAAATATAATATTTAGAGCTTGAAAAATGAGATAGAAGATCTTTTATAAAGATAATTTAAAGCTAAAAAAAGGAAAGCTAGAATATAAGAAGCTATAAAGAAGTATATATATCTTATAGTATATTAGTTCTAAAAGAATTTAGCTTTCTAAATATTTCTAGTATATTTCAAATATATTTCTCTAATAAAGCAGCTATATTATATATATCTGGAAAGTATCTAATATCTAATAAAGTATTTTAGATACCGAATATCTAAAAATTATAATATTATTTCCGAGCTTTATAAAAGCTATTAATTTATCTAATTTTATACTATTCTTCTTTCTAAAATAAAACTAGTATTTCAGATATAGATATTATATATAAAAGGCTAGTATCTTTATTATATAATCTAAAAGAATTTATTATTATTTCTATATAATTTTAAATAAATATTATTTTTTATATAGTTTAGCTAGTATTATAGGTTTTATAAAAGTTCTAATATATTAATATTATTATTATAGAAACTCTATAAAACCAGAAAGCTATTATTTAATACTAAAGCTAGATACTATACTAGATCTTTATTCTAACTAATCTACTAAATTCTATACTTTAGCCTCTTTCTTACTAGCTTAATTATAATAACTCATTTAATACTATATTCTTATTTACTATTTTCTAGTATTAATAAAGGTAGTTCCGAATTTATTTAATCTAGTAAAAAATTCTGAAAGTCTTTTTATAGCTTCTTTATATAAAGAACTAGATATATCTTTATAGTTTCTGGTAGTTTTAGAAGAAATAAATAGCTATATTATTCTAGAATCTCAAATAGATCTTTTATTTAGTTCTCTAGCTTCCGGCTCAAATAATTGGATTTCTAATACTTTATAGTAACTTATATCTTGTTTCTGACTTTGAAATTAATTAGATAGTAGTATTTATTAACTTATATTATATATTATTTCTATACTTGCTCTATATAACTTTAGATAAGTTATTATAATTCATATAATTAATTTATTAATACTTTAGCTTTATTTCTATTTAGCTTCTCTTTAAATAAGTTAGCTTTAATAAAGAAGTTATAGTTTAGAGAAATATAAAGCTTATAGTTCTTTTTAGTTATAAATAGAAACTAGCTAATAGTTTTATACTAAAAAGAGGCTTATTAATAATTAATTATAATAATCTATTTATTCTAGTTATTCTAATAGTAGTTAATATATAAATATAATCTCTAATTAAAGTACTAATTAATAATTTCTATTTATCTATTCGTTTAAGAATAATTAGCTATAGAGAGCTTAAGTTTTATATTAATTCTTATATAGAATTCGCTCCAAAAATCGGATATTATAGAAGAGAAACTATAATAAAACAAAAATTCATATAAAGTATACTAGAATACAAAACGTAACTTAATAATAAATTAATAAATTAAAAGTGTAAATAGTAAAGTATAAATGGTATATAGTATATAAAAAGCTCAATTAATTAAATACTTATAAGGGATTATTCTCTAGATTTATAAAAAAAACTAGCTTTCTTATATAATTTCTATAAGATATATATAAAAGACTATAGCCTTTACTATATAACCTAAACCTCAAAACTTGTAACGGCTGGTGTTATATAGTTAATACAAACGTGGTTTCAGCCAAAGGGGTTAGTTTCAGCTAAGGTTCCAAGCTATGATTCAAACCAAGCTCGCTTCCAAAGCTCGGCGTTTCAGTAGTCTTAGCCATACCTACTTATCCACTGCTACATCTCACTCA